AAGACCAAAGGATATGGAAAGACTTCTTCAAAGAAGATATACAAAGGTCCTGTAAGTGTATGAAAAGATGCTCAACATCATTAGCCAATAGGGAAATGAAACTCAAAACCGTAATGAAGTATCATCTCACATTCACAAGGGTTTGGAACCTGTTGCTGGTGGGAATGTGGAATGCTGTAGCCATAGTTACAGCTACTCTGGAAGACAGACCATCAGTTATTTATTCAAAAGGGTGAAGAATTGCCATATGACCTTGCAATTCCATTCCTAGGTATATATACGAGAGAAATGAAAACTTGTTCACAAATGAGCATCAACTCAAATATCCATCATTAATGAACAAATACACAAAATGTGGTATATCCATACCATGGAATAAAAATGAATAATGTACTAATATATGCCACAACATGAAGGAACCTTGAAAATATGCTTAAATGAAAGAAGCCAGTCACAAACTTAATCAAGGCAGAGTTCTGTTACCTTGAGATCAATTGTCTAAGTTTAACCTCTGGGAAATAAATGTCTTTGGTGTAATATCTATTGTGTGGAGATGAAATGGGAGGTACAAGGGGATTTGGAGGGTTGGGAAGCTTCAACTGGCCTAGGTGCTCCTTGGATAGTCTTCATTTCATTGCCATCATTACCTCCCTCACTAATTCATTCTTGCTTTTTATACTTGTCACCTCTTAAGCCTAGAGCCTCTCCATTATCAGTCACTATAGGGGAGAATGGCTTCCATTTCCAATCTAACTTCTATGCATATTTTGGGATGTAGATTTCTCTACTTTCACTTGTCCTTCATTATAATCATATTGGCTTTCATCTTCTAATTGGAAAATCTATATCTCTACCACTTTTTACAGCACTTTTAGAAATTTATTTCCTTTTATTATTATTTACATGAAAATTTCAATAGGATTTTAGAGTTGGGGGTCTAAACATGGTGTTCAGTCTATCACCTTAAACTGGAAGCTTACTATCTAAATCTTAAATAGAGTTTACATATTTTCTTAGAATCAAGCTCTTTGAAACACCAAGACCCTTTTTCCAAATAACACCAAAATATGGCCATAGGGTATAAATGCTATGATCTCCATTAGTCCATAAATAAAGACACCAGTAGGAAGTATTCTTTACCAAATAAAGCCAAATTGAGAAATAAAAAATTAAAAAAAACCTAATTGATATACTTTGAAATGCATGTTAACTTTTATTTTTTTTTAAAGATTTTCTTTATTTGACAGAGAGAGACACAGCAAGAGAGGGAACACAAGCAGGGGAAGTGGGAGAGAGAGAAGCAGGCCTCCCGCCGAGCAGGGAGCCTAATGCGGGGCTCGATCCCAGGACCCTGGGACCATGACCTGAGCTGAAGGCAGACGCTTAATGACTGAGCCACCCAGGTGCCCTGCATGTTAACTTTTATTAATAATTTCATTTGAAGTATTCAAAAGAATTGTACCCAAAGAATTTCCATGCACTTAACTAGAATCTATAACCACTGTCTTTTCATATTTTCCCAATAACAACTTATTTTTATTTACAAAAATAGTTTGTAGTATGTAACAGTATACCCCAGGTAGAAGTTATACAAAGATCTATTTAAATAAGGAATCATAGGGGCTCCTGGGTGGCTCAGTCGTTAAGTGGCTGCCTTCGGCTCAGGTCATGATCCCGGGGTCCTGGGATCGAGTCCCGCATCGGGCTCCCTGCTCAGCAGGGAGCCTGCTTCTCCCTCTCTCTCTGCTACCCTCCCCCGCCCTTTCCATCAAATAAATAAATAAATAAATAAATAAAATCTTAAAAAAAAAACCCAAAAAACCTTCTCCTCAGAAACCAAACTCCCTACCAGGCCCTACAAGGCCTTCGCCATGACCTGATGCCCGTCTACCTCTCCACACCTCATTCTCACTCTTTGCCTTCCTCACTCTCCTCAGGCCACTGTGCTTCCCCAAATACATCAACTTGGGTCCTCATTCGGGAGCTTTATGTTTGCTCCTCACTCTGCCCAGGACCCCTGGCCCCTCCACTTCACCTAAGCTATTTACATGCCTGACTTCTTTGCTTTCAAATATCACCTTCTTAGAGAGGCCTTCTCCAAGGTAGCTGCCGTCACCTTTCTTATTTTTTTTTTGTATACATCTATCATAACCTATAAATAATCTTATTTATAACCCCCCCCCACAGTATAACCTCTCTTAAGGGGAGACTTATCTATCTTGTTTATTATTCTCTCCAATACTTAGAACGTAACAGTTAATATTGATATTCAAAATGTTTGCTGAATGAACGGACAATTTCCTAATCATTGAAGCAATACAGATATTAACTATACTGAGTTTGATTATTAGCTTATTATAGTTTAAATTATATTAGTTAATTAGAAATTATTAGTTTATTATGAATAACTGGAGTTTTAACTTTCCACCAACAAAAAGATATTAAGATTACATGAGCATAAAGGAAGAATACAATACCACTGTGTGACATTTTATTCATTTAAGACAGGAACAGAGAAAAACACCCACAGACTGCCATCACTGCCTATGGGGCACCCAGGACCTTCGTCCCTCAGGAGAGGTCCTAAAAGGAAAATCAGATCTATTTGGAAGAGATGCCATGTAGAACACACCCATCAGATTCTGTCCAAAGGAGGAAAGAGAAAGTGAACAAACATCTTTCAGGACTAAAACTCCAGAAAAGACCAAAAAGGGGTTTTTCACAGCTTCTTCTATAAGCTCTTTGAAAAGAAGTCCAGTGGGTCAGAATACAGGGGAAAAAACTCATGAGAATCCCTCAATGGATCCTTTATCCACCAAACAAAATTTCTTCAGAAATTGACTTAACTCTCACAAATGATCTTGACAAAGGAACAGCTGTGAAAGACATAATTAGAGTTGTACTGTCAAGTGGTAAGATGAAGATAAGAAGCCTCAGATACACTGATGTATAAGTCAGTTATAATTTATAGAAGTTATAATTTATAAGTTATAAACACATCAATATATTGATATATCAATCCCTGAGGAAAACGAATACAAATACTTACATATGATACTAAATCAACATACAAGACATTGAAGAGATAAAGATCAGTCTAGGGTTGAGAGCTAGCTTACTGAACCTCAACACTGGGAGAAGGGAAACAAAGACGTTTTACAGCATTACAGAAAAACAATGCATTTGGAAGAAAATAAACATTTGTAAAAACAACAACAAGAAAATCACACGTAGTAATCTTTGTGACCTGATTGTGGGGGTGGGGGGGTGGGATTCATTACAGTAAAGTTATATTAAAAAAATAAAAAGAATAAAAATCACTAGAAGAAAAAGTCACTGGATCATATGCAAAAAGGGAAAGCTGAATCAATGTTTATAGCAACAAATTTAATCTGGCACTTCTATAGGTGATCTTTAGAGGTCTCTCTTATGAAGAGAGTGTAGAGAGTCTTGTTTTCTATACTGTTTGTAGTACATAAGTGCCACCAATCATAACTAATGAATAGTGCCATTTTAAGGCCTTAAACATTGCTAAATACATCTGTATGAACTTGTACTGCTGCCCTTTCTGAGGATAAATACAAAAAAAGACCAGTAGGCCCTGGAAAGAGGAAGTTCCATTAGAAAGAAAAGAACACTTTGCTCTTCATCTCTATATGAGACAGCAGTTCCTCAGACTGATTTTATCTGTTCTAAACAGTTAAGAACCAAGAAGCAAGCAACAAATGCCACAAAGGAACTAAAGTACAGCCGATGCATATGCAAGAAAACACATTTAATATATAGCCTCAAGGTCCTCACTCAGAGTCTTTTCATTTTTATTTTAGGCTGAATTCTAACACATCTGGCCATCTAGTTTCTCAGTGCACAGCAAATCAGAGGTAGCAAACTAGAAAATAGAAAAGACAGAAAACTACCTGTTAATACTGAGAGCAGATGACCTAACAAAAGAAAGGAGATTAAAACACCATTGGAAAAAGGAGTTACAAAATCTTAGAATCAAAAATAAAATTCAAAAAGCATAGCTGGCAAAGTTTTGTTTAAAATAACAACTTTGGGACGCCTGGGTGGCTCAGTCAGTTAAGTGTCTGAAAAAATATCTAAAAAAGATAGCATAAAAAGAACAGGTATTTAAACACAATTTTATTTCATGAATAATTTATTGTAACCTGTCTAATTCCACAGCAGAAACAGGTCATGATCTCAGGGTCGTGAGATCGAGCCCCATAAGAGGCTCCACTCTCAGGGGAAAGTCTGCTTCTCTCCCTCTTCCTCTGCCCCTCCCCACAATGTGTGCACATAACGCTCTCTCTCTTTCTCTCAAATAAATAAATCTTTAAAAAAAATAGTAACAACTTTACAAAATTCTTGCTTCGAAGACAATGAGTTTTATTTTAACACAGTGCAACATTAATATGGTACCTCATATAGTGGCTTACAAGGCACACTGAACTTTAAGTTCAAATGACCCTCCAATGATCGTTTTTAACCCTGGAGCTTCTGACTTGGTAGACATTCATACTGCATTCAACACTCCACGGGTGATTCTGACACACACTGAGAAGCACCGTCCTAATAGTCTAAGGAAAGGTTATACTGTATTCGACATATTAGTTAAGAAAGAAGTGAGAACTTATTATAATCTTTAAATGTGTTCAATAAAACTTGTTTTTAAAAAGTTTGGGCATGTTGAGGTAATGTGGTATATTCATTCTGGTAGAACACTTACCTCCCAAAAGGAGGGAGAGGGCTAAATGACACACTACCAACAGCCAATCTACTCACAGGATAATTTCTTTTGAAACCATGCAAATATAATGAATATATGTAATGATAAGTAAAGCAGAACACTCAGTAAGGCATGAAATAAAGGCAGAAACTCAATGAAGTTAAAGTTATGTGAAGAAAAACAGCTCTAATTAAACTAGACTAGTCTGGACACCAAACTCCTCTCTACACAATAGGATCTCCCAAACAAAATACTTAACACTTATACTCACCTTTCTGAAAAATCAGAATCTATAAATTCTCTAGCTCGTTTTCTATCACTAAAAAGAAAAAAAAGATAGCATAAAAAGAACAGGTATTTAAACACAATTTAATTTCACAAATAATTTATTGTAACCTAATTCCAAAGCAAATATATCCAAACACAAAATCTAACAAATAGAAAAGATATGTTTTCTCATAGGATCAAGAAATCACAACATAATAAATTTTACCACAGGATCAAAAAGATCACAATATAACAACACAGTTTGAAATGAGCTCAATGAAAACGGGAGGAAAATATTGCACACTCAGAAAGGAGAAGGCTCAGAAAGTATTAGTCACTATGGAATGACTGAGCAGTCATTCCACCCCCAATATAAAGCACAGCTGGGGCCAAAAATATCCAAACCCTGGTCATCTCCAAAGCGGGCCAACACAACTGGCATGGGTTTAACTTTCATGTTATAATCTCTCAAGGTTATGCAGAAATCCAAGGTAACTTTCAGAACCTACGTGGGATACGGGCTGAATAAAGGTCATGGAATTACAGGTGATTGTGTCATTTCATTTCCTTTGATAGTGAAAAAATATGTATACATATGAAACTCTTCTGTCTCTAATGTGTGTGTGTGTGTGTGTGTGTGTGTATACATGAACATGTATATGGCCGGAAAGACTTTGCCAGGATTATTTCATTATTTCATTTAACATCCTGGAAACAAGAAAGCTCTTACACAACCAAGATTTACTGTCTGCTTGATAGAACTCACAATTATAAGTCAAAGAACTACCAGTATAGTACGCCACCACAGAAATGACTTCTCAAGTGAACAAATGAGGTTTTGAATCCTTTATCTTACAATTTCTTTTTCCCTTACGGAAAGATGAAATGCTAAAATGATAAGGAGCAGAGAAAGACTGGGTAAGGGTATTTTACAGGCAGAGATGAAACATGCAAAAGTTTGATACTAAAAGTGGTAAATGAGTAGCACAAGGGATACTGATTTAATTGTCCAGTGTTTCAAAAGGATCAAGAGAAAAACTCAGTAAAATTTTTAATATTTTTTGGCCTCTTTTTCCTAGTTCCTTTTCTGATGTTTAAGGAAACAAAAATTCACAGGGGAAATTCTGAGTACAGCCAACACTTAATATGTAACTCTCTTCTTAAGTTTGTTAAAGCAGTATAAAATATAGAATTTGCATCTCCAAAGCAGTCAAATGTCATAATCAGAAAAAGCAGTCCTTTTTCAGAGTTGAAAAGTCAGAAGATTCAGGTACAAATTACTGTATTGTTTTTCTCTATTTAAAAATGGTTGCTCCATAAATGATTTATATCTAAGATATAAGGTGAAATAAAATAGGTGGTTTTAAAGGCAACACATTAGTTTTGAAGGACTCGGCTAACATAAAACAAGAATGGAAGACAAAATAGTGAGAGGAAAAGATCACAGCTTGTGAAAAAGTTTTAAAAATGGTAACTTGCAACAACATTCTTACCCTGGGACCCAGCCAGTAGCTTCGGCTATGTGTGTCTGAGTAACCATTGCTGGCGCAGGGGTATATGGACTCCCAATCAGAACACTTCCTGAACTGGTTAGTCTCTGTGGTGTGCTTATAATCTATAAAGTTAGGACACAGAAAATCATATTCTTAGTTATTAAGAAACACATACAGGCAGAAAGTAATGTTGACTGCTAAGCTACATTTAAGGAGGAAATCTTACTGCCTAAAATGCACTTAATATCAATCATCTAAAACATAAGCTTTCATTCACTTATATTCTAGGATCTTAAAGCACAAGTAATTGAATACTGACATGAGGTCACAATACAGGTTTCAGCAAGTTTTCAATCCTTTCAATCCTTTGGAAGGATTAAGATGGCAACTAACAATGTTTTAAAAATCAGAAAAACAAAAAGCTTTCTTTGAAATATAGAACCTAACTGCAGTTGAACTTGATGTATTCAAACTAGGGCAAGAGTAAATCAGGTCTTCATGTCCAAAATATACACAAAGGCATTATACAATTTGGATTATTATAACAGATGCAATTTCATCTTCTTTTTTCAAGAGCATTTCCTCATGTCATTAAATATTCTCCAAAGACATTTTAAAGACAGTGAAACATTTCATCATGTGGATTTACTATCCCTTATTAGATATATATGGATATTCAATTATCCAATATTACAAGCAATGCTGTGATGAAAATTTTTGTACAATGATCTTGGCCTCAGTATCTATTTCCTAAGGACAGACTCTAGAAAGGTAATTAATGCAACTAAGGATATAGACTTTTAAAAAAAGTTTCTTGATAGGTGCTACCAAATTGCTGCCCAGGACTTCACTGGTAAATAGACCATGTTTTTTCCAAAAATGTTTATAATAATTAGTACAAAAAACAATTTAGCATTCTACTAATATCTTTATAAGTATTTTTGTCAAAAAAATATGAGCATGTTCCAGTGAGTGGGGGTATTAATGCCACAATATTGGCCCCACATTAGTAACTATTGAAGACCAAACTTCTGGGAGCACAGGGATTCTCTCTTTTTTTTCTTTCCAACTCCGAGGCACAGGACCGCCCTCACCTGGGCAACCCCAGATCTTCGGATCTCCTAAAGTGAAGAGATTATTTTCGTATACTTTTGAAAATTTCTGTAACAGCTTAAGATTTTTTTTAAGTACCAATTAAGAGAGAAAAGCATCTATGTGGGCTACATACAATTTTTTTAAATGACAGATCTTTTTTTTTTTTTAAGAGTTTATTTATTTATTTGACAGAGAGACACAGCAAGAAAAGGAACACAAGCAGGGGGAGTGGGAGAGGGAGAAGCAGGCTTCCCACCGAGCAGGGAGCCTGATGTGGGGCTCGAACCCAGGACCCTGGGATCATGACCTGAGCTGAAGGCAGACGCTTAACGACTGAGCCACCCGGGGGGCCCCTAAATGACAGATCTTAAAAGAAATAGTTCTATTTCTACCGCCTGATGTAGGTCAAAATACTAATTAATTTTTGTATCCCTGATCAAATGAAACCTGTTTCTGCTGGCAGGGTCTAATTCCAGTCATTAAGTTAGTTGCTAATTTGTTCCCTAGAGAACAATGAGAAGGATTCACTTGCATTTCAAGCTTAGTTCAGCCTTTGTTATTAAAGCCTTGTCAACATTTTTTCATTTACTAAACATTTAAAAACGTTAGTTACCTCTGTTTGTGTACTGCATTTTGCCAGTTTGGAGCTAGGGAGATGTTATTATATACAAATGCCTAGGAAATAATTTTAATAAGTTAATTCTACAGTTAAAAAAATAAAAACAAAAGACAATAAACACTGATAGATGTCTGGAGAATTCTGATTCTCTACAATATTCCAGGGACTATTTTTTTTTTAGGATTTTATTTATTTATTTAATTGACAGAGAGAGAGAGAGAGAGACAGCGAGAGAGGGAACACAAGCAGGGGGAGTGGGAGAGGGAGAAGCAGGCTTCCCGCCGAGCAGGGAGCCCAATGCAGGGCTTGATCCCAGGACCCTGGGATCATGACCTGAGCTGAAGGCAGTCACTTAATCAACTGAGCCACCCAGGCGCCCCTCCAGGGACTATTAAATGAGGAATTCGGAAGCTTACCTCATGAGAAAATATGAATACTGGACAAGGGGTTTGTATCTCCTACCCTTCTACACACACCCCCCACCTCTGCACCTCCATTTCAGCATAAAATCTTTAAGGGTAGATCAAATGTTTGCAGAGCCTAGCACAGTGCTAGGAGATATTCACAGGAAAGGTACAATAAATATTTGATGAACTGAGACAGAAGACCCAGCTCTTAAAATGAAAAAAGTAGCTTCTCTGTTTATTAATATGTCAAAAAGGACTACATAAAATCCAGTAAGAAAATACAATATAAAGGACATAATTCTCACCAATCACTACATCACACATTCATATGTCCTATATCATGCTGACCTTGAGTGTGAAGCTTAAGAAGGAAAATTTGAGTATTCGATCAGTCTCTGGTCTACTCTATTTCCAGAACAGGAGCCTCCACAAAGCAATTCTAATCATCCAGACTTACCCTTGAGATAGCCTGCATTATTTGTGCAGTATTACTACTAAATTCTTTTTCTGTATCTGTTATTAGTAGCCTACAGGCTCAGTTTACCTGATTTAAAGTGCTTTGTCGAAAAAAAAAAAAAGATGAAGAGAGGAGGAAAGGAAACAGGATATAGGAAAAACCCGGTTATCATTACTGAGAAAGGCTTTGGAAATGAATTGCTATGTTCTGGTTTATTTTTTCTTCCTCAATGTCAGAATGTCAGCTGATATTCTTTGCTGATCTGACAGTGATTAGCAATATTCTGTTCTTTTCTCTTAGCCTAGTGCCTGGTATGCCCTTAATAGCAGAAATCCTCAATAAACATTTCCTGATGAACAAATTGGAGGGATGATATACTTGAACTAAAAAGACAAGTTAGAAGTTCATGTGAGATGCTATGAGTTCCTAAATGAGGACAATGACAGTGAACCTTAAGAAAAAAGATCAAAGAAAAGCCAACAGAACTTGATCAACCACTGAATATAGGAAAATTATATAGGTGATGAGTCAGATATGTTTTATAAAACTGAACCTTCATTCTGAAATCCCAAATTGAAATTACTTCCTATATTCAGTTGATCTGATAAGGAAAATGAACATTTATTTTAAATTCCAGAATCTACCTCCCCCCACCCCAAAGAAATCCTTAATTTAAATGTAATCATGCAGTTTTTTGACAATGAATTACAGTTGGGCTATGAAAATCGTATAGCAATTGAACCTCATTCTGAAGATTTTTCTGCCTTCAATCAATGTATCTTACATACTACTGCCATCTACAGTACGAATAGCCAAGAGATTGTTACAGCCTTGTATGGTGGCTACACTGGTGGTGAATAGCATAGAGTTGTCCAATCACTATGTTGTATCCCTGAAACTAATGTAACATTTTGTGTCAATGATACTTCAATTAGAAAGAAAAAGAAAAGCCAAGATAGCATCTGTATTCTGAAGGGAAAAAGAATCTATACAATTGGGGGCGCCTGGGTGGCTCAGTCGTTAAGTGTCTGTGTTTGGCTCAGGTCATGATCCCAGGGTCCTGGGATCAAGCCCCACATCAGGCTCCCTGCTGGGTGGGAAGCCTGCTTCTCCCTCTCCAGCTTTCCCAGCTTGTGTTCCCTCTCTCACTGTGCCTACTCTGTCAAATAAATAAATAAAATCTTAAAAAAAAAATCTATAAAAAGTATTACATTAAAGGATTTTATTATTTCACAAAAATTTAGTTTTCACTATAAGAAACATGTACTTCTTAACCATGTTAAAATAAAGATGGTTATGAGATTATATGACAAGATACCTTTAAGTAAAGGGCAAGTATTCAAACTAAAACAGTTATTGTTAAATTAGTTTCTATAAACACAAAAAACAACCTTCTTGGGACTTTTTGAAATTTCTATCTACCATTAAGACTTGGCTAGAGGGCACCTGGGTGGCTCAGTTGGTTAAGCGACTGCCTTCGGCTCAGGTCATGATCCTGGAGTCCCGGGATCGAGTCCCACATCGGGCTCCCTGCTCAGCGGGCAGTCTGCTTCTCCCTCTGACCCTCTTCCCTCTCATTTTCTCTGTCTCTCTCTGTCTCTCATTCTCTCTTTCTCAAATAAATAAATAAAATCTTTAAAAAAAAAAAAAAGACTTGGCTAGAGACATGTGAAATTTAAAGGGCAAGTAGAGAAAGACAACAGAAAGAAGGTTTTAAAAAAGAAAAAGAGGTTTTATTCAAGAGTTTTCCAACTTAAAAAAAGTATTTTAAAATCACAGATGAGAGACTGAAGGTGAGGGGACAATATTCAAAAGGGATAAACAAGAGAAGAGAGAAATGGCTCTAACTGGGATTCTACAACAATTAGAAAGTCAAAAAGAAAGCTCTCATTTCTGTCCAAGAACTGAGAACTATAAAAAACACCTCAGTATTAAGGACACAAATTAAGGCCTGGTTTAAAGAAGAGCCCCAAATCTCCTTTCCTTCTTCTGACCTTTGTTTTGCTGATTCTGAGGTTTGTAGTAATAAGGTAAGTAGTATACAAGACTACTTATCATTGTCAGAACTGAGGTATAACAGTAATTACATGTACAGTAGCTCAAATGGACAATGGAAAGAAAAACTGTTTCCAAAAGAAGAATTCAAATTTGAGCCATAGCAGTTATCACTAAGATACTGACAGGAAACAGTCTCTTGAAACAGAGGGGTACTGTGCAGGAGAAATTCTAAGAGTTCGGGGATGTTTATTTAATTTTGTTGTTTATATAATCACATTTCAAAATACAGGCTTTAAAGTCCGGTGCCTTATCTCATTTACACCTACTGTAGTGGCTGGTGAGAAGCAAAAGCTTAGTAAATGTTTGAAATATACCCTGAACTACCTTGAAATGGGGACACTTAGCTGAGCTTAAGTCTCCATGAGGTTTGGAGCTAGACTACATTCTTCACATAGTTACAGAAAGTTATGCAAGATTTTTAGCTTGAATTCTGTAGATAATTAACAGTCCTCAAGTGATCAAGAAAAATGTCATGTCTTGAATGTCTTAACATCTTTAAGATTTGCTGAAGCCACTAAATACGCTAAGATATATTTTTCGCCTAAACAATTCTGCATTTAACAGAGTTCACAGTACTGAGTATTACGGGCAAAATTTATCCTTCCTGCTCTATAGATGAGAACATGCAAGCACTGACAATGAAGAGTTACTGTTCAAGTGTTTACATACTTTTGCTAATGGTGGCTGAGACCATTAAATTAAGTATAGTTTTTAGGGTAATTGCATGCGACTTTGTTTATAAATAAGGCTTTTCTAAAAGTGCTATATACTTCAAGCTCTCGCATAATTAATGGAGTATCTTCAGAGAAACAGTTAAATATTTTCCATTTTTCATTCGTTATTTCTACTGCTAAAGATTGATAGCTCTGGATATAGATTAACTGTTGGATCATATTCAATTTATATGAGCGTACATAGCTTAGGGCAGTAAAGGTTATTTTATAAGAAAAAAAGAGGAGAACATAAAACATAACAGATTTCAAATCAATTTATTTATTTATTT